CAGTAGAGTCTGTAAGCTCCGCAGACCTGAAGAAGCTGCTGAAGGACCACTTCCACCCCAAGGTGTCCGTTATCTCATGGCGCCACACCTTCGAGCAGAGGGATCAACGGTCCGGGGAGTCAGCCAAGGATTACATCGCCGCGTTACGGAAGGCCGCCAAGCCCTGCGAGTTCAAGGACCTCGAGGAACGACTGAGGGACCGATTCGTGTGCGGGTTAAGGCATCGCGAGCTACAACAGAGACTTTTCGCAAAGGAAGAATTATCATTCCAAGACGCCTTAAGGGAAGTCACCGCAGAAGAAGCAGGCAGGCGGCGCCGTCAAGGAACATCGCGGCCGATCACGAAGCAGTTGCAGAGGTGGCGTCGTGCACAAGGAAGGACGTCGACGAAACTCGAGGAGGAATCGGACGAAGAAGCGACGTCTACACCCTGCGAAGGGAGAAACTCAGAAGGAAAGCTCTTCAGCTCCGCTCAAGTGCATCGGCTGTGGAGGTCGCCACAGGAGAACCGACTGCAAGTTCCGCTCCGCTACCTGCCGGGCATGCGGCAAACTAGGGCACATTGCAGCTGTGTGTCTGGGCCGACGAAAGGGACAACCTCAAGAAGAACGCCTGAAGGGTACCAGAGTCCCCAGCCAGAATAGGGTAGGTTTTTGCGCTTCGAGTAGAAACATTTGTAGGACAGGCACACACAAGCCCATGAAGAAAAAGCTGTCACTCAACGTGAAGCTACAAGGGGTTCCATTATCTATGGAACTAGACACAGGGTCTGCCCTTGCCATCATTTCATTGCATACATTTAGGAAGATTTGTTCCAGTAGTGGGACTAAGGCCAAGTTAAGGCCTTCTGATATTGTATTAACTGATTTTCAGAACTCAAGAGGGTGTGTTAAGGGGGAGGCCACCCTTAACGTGCAATACAAGAGTTTTGAAGGTCCACTAGACTTGTTAGTAGTAGGGGGTGAAAGAACGAGTCTCATAGGACTCGATTGGTTTGAGGCCCTGGGGATACACGTCACAGGACTCAACAGCTTACAAACACTCGACCTACAGGAAGTCTGCAAGGAATTTGCAGATGTTTTCAGCCCCCAGTTGGGCACATTCAAAGGACCACCTGTGTCCTTAAAGCTAGACCCCACTGTCACTCCCATTAGGATTAAAGCAAGAAGGGTCCCTTTTGCTTTAAAAAGTAAGATTGACACTGAATTAGACAAACTAATCCAACAAGGAATCCTAGAACCTGTTGATTCCAGCCCATGGGAGACCCCCATTGTCAAGCCTCTAAAGGCAAATGGGGACATTCGCATTTGTGCTGATTACAAATGCACACTCAAAGGCATTGCAGCAACATGCCTATACTGTTCCTGTGGTCAGTCATATCCTGGCCTCCCTCAAGGGGGGGCGCGTTTTTGCAAAGCTTGACCTAGCTCAAGCGTATCAACAGCTGCCTGTTGATGATGATGCTGCTATAGCTCAGACCATTGTGACCCACAGGGGAGCCTTTAAGGTAAAAAGGCTACAGTTTGGAGTGAATGTCTCTCCTGGGATTTTCCAAAGCGTAATGGAAAACACACTACGAGGTATACCAGGGGTCTGCCCCTACTTTGACGATGTCTTGATTGCAGGAGACCCCACACACATTCTAGCTGAAAGGCTTAGGGCTGTCCTGTTAAGATTCAGGAAATCAGGCCTCAAGCTCAGAAAAGACAAATGCCAGATTGGGGTGCCTTCTACTGAATTTCTGGGATTCAAAATTGATGCTGCTGGGATTCATCCTGCTGAATCCAAACTAACTGCTATTTTAGAAGCACCCAGGCCAAAGTCCAAGGCCGAACTTCAGGCCTTCTTAGGCCTCCTGAATTTCTACAATTCTTTTCTTCCACATAAAGCTAGTGTAGCTGAGCCTCTTCACAGGATACTAGACAAACAAGCTGTGTGGCTGTGGTCACAAGCACATGAGGCTTGCTTTAAAGAAGTCAAGGCCTTGCTCACTTCTAACAGTGTTCTTGCACATTTCAACGAGTCTCTTCCTGTGTGCATCGCTTGTGATGCATCCCCCTACGGGGTTGGAGCTGTCCTGAGTCACCTCAGGTCTGATGGAACTCAGGTTCCTATTGCATACTACTCCAGAACATTGTCTTCTGCCGAGCGCAACTACGCTCAGATAGACAGGGAGGCTCTGGCTGTTGTTGCTGGAATTAAAAAATTCCACGATTTTCTATATGGCAGGCATTTCACGGTCTTCACTGACCATAAGCCTCTGCTGGGACTGTTTACCACACGTAAGCAGACTCCCCACATCATTTCCCCTAGAATGCTTAGGTGGTCTATTTTTTGTCTGCATATGATTTTTCATTACTCCACAAGCCTGGGAAAGAAATGGGCCATGCTGATGGCCTCAGTAGGTTGCCTCTGCCAGTAGTAGAAGCTGACCCCGCGCCAGCTGTCAACATTCTATCAATCCAAGCCTTGCCCGAGCTTCCTCTTAGTGCCAGGGATGTTACCGCTGAAACAGGTACAGATCACACACTTTCACGTGTCCGCTCCTGGGTCCTGTCCGGGTGGCCTGAGCACTGCCCTAGTCCTGAGTTTCAGAGTTTCTGGTCCAAAAGGAACGAATTGTCCCTTTCTCAGGGTTGTTTGCTTTGGGGAAACAGAGTTGTCATTCCCACCTCAATGAGGACTAGGGTCTTAGAATCCCTCCACGAGGGTCATCCTGGCATTGTTCGTATGAAGGCTCTTGCACGCAGCCACTTGTGGTGGCCTGCTTTAGATAAAGATATTGAGGCTAAGGTACACGCATGCCACATGTGCCAACGATCTCGCCCAGAGATGCCCCAAGCTCCTGTGCATAAATGGGAGGAAACACAGTCCCCATGGTCTAGGGTGCACATTGACTACGCTGGGCCCTTTCAGGGCCAGTTCTTCTTGGTCCTTGTTGACAGCCATTCAAAATGGCTTGAGGTTGTGCCTGTCTCGTCCACCACCACTGCAAAGACTATTCAGGTACTGAGGGGGATTTTTGCTGCACACGGGCTGCCAGATGTCATTGTGTCTGACAACGGCCCTCAATTCACCTCCTCCGAATTCCAAGCTTTCTTACAGGCAAACCTGATTCGTCATGCCACATCTGCGCCCTTTCACCCTTCCACCAACGGTATGGCTGAACGCATGGTGCGCATCGCAAAGGACGCCTTGAAGAGACTCACCTACGGGGACTGGCATCACAGGTTGGCTGACTTTCTCCTTTCTTATCGCACCACACCGTCCACTTCTACAGGGAGAAGTCCAGCTGAACTTCGTTGGGGGCGCCAACTTACTACGAGACTTGACCGGTTGCATCCGGACAGACTGCCTTCATCTACCTCACATCCTAGGGCACCTAGACAACTACTTGTGGGTGCCCCGGTTTGGGCTCGCAATTACGGGCCTGGTCATACATGGGTCCCCGCTTCTGTGTCCAGGATCACAGGTCCTCTCTCCTACGAGGTTGCCCTGGACAACGGTCGTGTCCTGCGTCGGCACATCGACCAACTCCGCTCTAGGCGGGACTTTTCTGCTGAAACTCCTGGGTCTTTTCCAGGGGGGGAGGGGGACCCTGTGGAGCAAAGGGAAGGGCAAGAGTTACTGCCCATCTCCACTGAGGGAGCCACAGACGGCCCGTCCCAAGATTCTGCAATTGCTCCGAAAAGGAAGTCATGGAGCTTACCCACACAACAGGCATCCACGCCTACTCCAGCCAGGGAGTCACCCCGGGGGCCTACTCACTTTCCACACATATCACACAGCACTCCAGTCACGGAGGATACCCGGGGGCATCCCAACAAATCATTCCCCGCAAGAGAGCTGGCACACAATCACCAAAGTTGGCCTGACCTTACCCCAAATCCTACAGGGGGTCAAACATACACAGAGCTAGTCGAGGAACCAAGTCCCGACTACAACAACCCTAGCACAAATCAGGGGACACCTGAGTTTTGGGAGAGTACAGAAACCCACATGAGCCCAAACACAGAATGGGGTTCAGGGAATGGACAACCTCCTGACAGGTCTTGGACTGACCTAGGAGGTCCTACAGAGACGCCCAGCAGCGGCTATCACTTCAAGGGGCCTGAGGGTCTACAGCTAGGCAGGTCAACCAGGTCACAAAGCAACAGAAGCCCTGGCCTGACGAGCCCGGTGGGCAAGCAAGCAGGCCAGGCGTCGGGGCACAGTCCTTGGAAGACACCAGGGCACAATAGAGAGAATAGGCTCACGCCTCCCTCCAGTCAGGGGACTTATGCCAGTAACCCACAGCTAAGAAGGTCACAGAGAGCAAAGAAATCTCCCAAGTACCTAGAAGACTACATAACATTGCTGGCAAGGCAAAGGCCAGTAAACAGTGGGAGCACTGGGGAGCAAAATGTTATATAAAATAAATGCTGTATGTTGGTAGTAGTTTTAGCCCGGGGGAAAGGGGTGTTATGTCCCGAGCCTTTGCAAACGGCTCGGGCGTTTGCAGGCAGTCCCGGGCAGGTGCAAAGCTGCCCGGGACCAGACAGGCTGTCGCCCGCGCCGTGCGCATGCGCGGGTGCTGGCGCGGGAAAAGTAACCCATTTACCCGGGAGTTGCCTATATAAGGGGCTGCGAGGCGTTTGGGCTGAGCTGAAGCCATCTTCCTGTAAGCTGAACGCTGAATAAAAGAACCTGAGGACTCCAGCTGCTTCTCGTGTCTGTTTTCCCGCCAAGGACGCAACAGAAATACATTTCAGATCTTTGCTTAAACATTCAAAATTAGAATTAGACTCAGTCTGTACATATGTGTGGTTATTATATGACTAAGGTGAACAACCGTCCTCCTTTTGGGAGGACAGTCCTCCTTTTGTAAGTTCTGTCCTCTCTTGAAAGATGTCCTCCTACATATCCTCCTTTTTGATATTTGAAGACTAATCTGTAAATCTCCGTATTCAATCAATGCTGATCCGATCCGTTGCGTGTGATGTGACGTATTTGTATTTGACATGACGATTTGTCAAGGCTCGGTACAATGCGGCGAGACACGATTATGAGATGCATGTGCTCCGCACAGAATTGTTTTGAGAGAGTGTGCCGCACGCAAGAGTGTGCCACACGCAAGTGGCTTTGTTTACTTCTTACCGAAACATGGCACGGCACACATGCACGCATTAGACTCACTTTTTTTTCTTCAATTTATTTGTGTCCTCCTTCTCATTGTAAAAAAGTTGATCACCTTATATATGACTCACATATTAAGCCTGTATTCATGTCCTTGAATACTTTTTGCTCAAAGTATGTAATTTACTATGACTGAAACCTCACTCAGGCAAGAAAAGAAAATGTAAAACTCATGCAGCAATAATGTATTCCTGTTAACTCTACTGTCACAGAAATTAAGGGCTGGTGGGGTCATGAAAATAAGTATGTTTGGTTTTGCTTGTGATGCTGTATATACAATATCTTCCATGTTATCTCAAGTCCTACGCAAAGAAAATTGTGTAATGCATCTGGAAAGCAACAGGTTGGAGAACCCTGATCTAAAATAATAGTCCAAATAAAGCCGTGTCAACTAACTCAAGTTAGCCTTCAACAATCTCAGATATATGCACTTCAACTTTCGGAATTCTAATGAACTGAGTATTTTAGGAACTGGACTGGATATACATGGAGGACATTCAGATAGGGAATGGGATGCCCCAGGATTTCAAACAGGGAAGAATGAAAAGATCTCCATCTCTTTTTGTTATTCCTAGCTTATTACACGTGAAGAAAAGAAGTTTATTTCAGATGTACAATTCAATTTTGGAATCCTCATTGTATGGGATCCAGCACCATATCATGCAAGTATTTATGAGGTAAGTTTTAATGGTGCACAGTATATAGGATGTCTAGAAAAGTTGGGCCATGTGTAGTTTCATGGATAGTACCATATTTCATATGTACTTCCTTTTAGTATTTCAGTGAGATGTTTTCTGGTCTCCAATTTAAATGAACTATTTATGGAATTTTCTTTTAATATAGCGTTACTATCAGCATCACAGAAAATATTCCTGCTTGGGAGATTGGCAACAGCCACTTAACATAATTTATAGGTTTTCAAATAAAGCTGTTCTCTAAAGTCTGAGTATTGTACTGCTGGTGCCACAGACACGCAGTAACAAAACACAATATAAACATACTTACTGCCTTCCTATCTTTCCCCAAAACACTATTGTATGACTTGGAAGTTGTTGAGTCCGTGGCGGGAAAACAGACACGAGAAGCAGCTGGAGTTCTCAGTTTCTTTTATTCAGCGTTCAGCTTACAGGAAGATGGCTTCAGCCTCGCCCAAACGCCTCGCAGCCTCTTATATAGGCAACTCCCGGGTAAATGGGTTACTTTTCCCGCGCCAGCACCCGCGCATGCGCACGGCGCTGGCGACAGCCTGTCTGGTCCCGGGCAGCTTTGCACCTGCCCGGGACTGCCTGCAAACGCCCGAGCCGTTTGCAAAGGCTCGGGACATAACACCCCTTTCCCCCGGGCTAAAACTACTACCAACATACAACATTTATTTTATATGACATTTTGCTCCCCAGTGCTCCCACTGATTACTGGCTTTTGCCTTGCCAGCAATGTTATGTAATCTTCTAGATACTTAGGAGATTTCTTTGCTCTCTGTGACCTTCTTAGCTCTGGGTTACTGGCATAAGTCCCCTGACTGGAGGGAGGCGTGAGCCTGTTCTCTCTATTGTGCCCTGGTGTCTTCCAAGGACTGTGCCCCGATGCCTGGCCTGCTTGCTTGCCCACCGGGCTCGTCAGGCCAGGGCTTCTGTTGCTTTGTGACCTGGTTGTCCTACCTAGCTGTAGACCCTCAGGCCCCTTGAAGTGATAGCCACTGCTGGGCGTCTCTGTAGAACCTCCTAGGTCAGTCCAAGACCTGTCAGGAGGCTGTCCATTCCCTGAACCCCATTCTGTGCTCGGGCTCGTGTGGGTTTCTGTACTTTCCCAAAACTCAGGTGTTCCCTGATTTGTGCTAGGGGTGTTGTAGTCGGGACTTGGTTCCTCGACTAACTCTGTGTATGTTTGAACCCCTGTAGGATTTGGGGTAAGGTCAGGCCAACCTTGGGAATTTTGTGCCAGCTCTCTTGCGGGGAATGATTTGTTGGGATGCCCCCGGGTATCCTCCGTTACTGGAGTGCTGTGTGATGTGTGTGGAAAGTGAGTATGCCCCCGGGGTGACTCCCTGGCTGGAGTAGGCGTGAGTGCCTGTTGTGTGGGTAAGCTCCATGACTTTCTTTTCGGAGCAATTGCAGAACCCTGAGATGGGCCGTTTGTGGCTCCCTCAGTGGAGGTGGGCAGTAGCTCTTGCCCTTCCCTTTGCTCCAAAGGGTCCCCCTCCCCCCCTGGAAAAGACCCAGGAGTCTCATCAGAAAAGTCTCGCCTAAAGCGAAGTTGGTCGATGTGCCGCCGCAGGACACGACCGTCGTCCAGGGCAACCTCGTAGGAGAGAGGACCTGTGATCCTGGACACAGAAGCGGGGACCCATGTATGACCAGGCCCGTAATTGCGAGCCCAAACCGGGGCACCACAAGTAGTTGTCTAGGTGCCCTAGGATGTGAGGTAGATGAAGGCAGTCTGTCCGGATGCAACCGGTCAAGTCTAGTAGTAAGTTGGCGCCCCCAACGAAGTTCAGCTGGACTTCTCCCTGTAGAAGTGGACGGTGTGGTGCGATAAGAAAGGAGAAAGTCAGCCAACCTGTGATGCCAGTCCCCGTAGGTGAGTCTCTTCAAGGCGTCCTTTGCGATGCGCACCATGCGTTCAGCCATACCGTTGGTGGACGGGTGAAAAGGCGCAGACGTGGCATGACGAATCAGGTTTGCCTGTAAGAAAGCTTGGAATTCGGAGGAGGTGAATTGAGGGCCGTTGTCGGACACAATGACATCTGGCAGCCCGTGTGCAGCAAAAATCCCCCTCAGTACCTGAATAGTCTTTGCAGTGGTGGTGGATGAGACAGGCACAACCTCAAGCCATTTTGAATGGCTGTCAACAAGGACCAAGAAGAACTGGCCCTGAAAGGGCCCAGCGTAGTCAATGTGCACCCTAGACCATGGGGACTGTGTTTCCTCCCATCTATGCACAGGAGCTTGGGGCATCTCTGGGCGAGATCGTTGGCACAGGTGGCATGCATGCACCTTAGCCTCAATATCTTTATCTAAAGCAGGCCACCACAAGTGGCTGCGTGCAAGAGCCTTCATACGAACAATGCCAGGATGACCCTCGTGGAGGGATTCTAAGACCCTAGTCCTCATTGAGGTGGGAATGACAACTCTGTTTCCCCAAAGCAGACAACCCTGAGAAAGGGACAGTCGTTCCTTTTGGACCAGAAACTCTGAAACTCAGGACTAGGGCAGTGCTCAGGCCACCCGGACAGGACCCAGGAGCGGACACGTGAAAGTGTGTGATCTGTACCTGTTTCAGCGGTAACATCCCTGGCACTAAGAGGGAGCTCGGGCAAGGCTTGGATTGATAGAATGTTGACAGCTGGCGCGGGGTCAGCTTCTACTACTGGCAGAGGCAACCTACTGAGGCCATCAGCATGGCCCATTTCTTTCCCAGGCTTGTGGAGTATGAAAAAATCATATGCAGACAAAAAAATAGACCACCTAAGCATTCTAGGGGAAATGATGTGGGGAGTCTGCTTACGTGTGGTAAACAGTCCCAGCAGAGGCTTATGGTCAGTGAAGACCGTGAAATGCCTGCCATATAGAAAATCGTGGAATTTTTTAATTCCAGCAACAACAGCCAGAGCCTCCCTGTCTATCTGAGCGTAGTTGCGCTCGGCAGAAGACAGTGTTCTGGAGTAGTATGCAATAGGAACCTGAGTTCCATCAGACCTGAGGTGACTCAGGACAGCTCCAACCCCGTAGGGGGACGCATCACAAGCGATGCACACAGGAAGGGACTCGTTGAAATGTGCAAGAACACTGTTAGAAGTGAGCAAGGCCTTGACTTCTTTAAAGCAAGCCTCATGTGCTTGTGACCACAGCCACACAGCATGTTTGTCTAGTAGCCTGTGAAGAGGCTCAGCTACACTAGCTTTATGTGGAAGAAAAGAATTGTAGAAATTCAGGAGGCCTAAGAAGGCCTGAAGTTCGGCCTTAGACTTTGGCCTGGGTGCTTCTAAAATAGCAGTTAGTTTGGATTCAGCAGGATGAATCCCAGCAGCATCAATTTTGAATCCCAGAAATTCAGTAGAAGGCACCCCAATCTTGCATTTGTCTTTTCTGAGCTTAAGGCCTGATTTCCTGAATCTTAACAGGACAGCCCTAAGCCTTTCAGCTAGAATGTGTGTGGAGTCTCCTGCAATCAAGACATCGTCAAAGTAGGGGCAGACCCCTGGTATACCTCGTAGTGTGTTTTCCATTACGCTTTGGAAAATCCCAGGAGCGACATTCACTCCAAACTGTAGCCTTTTTACCTTAAAGGCTCCCCTGTGGGTCACAATGGTCTGAGCTATAGCAGCATCATCATCAACAGGCAGCTGTTGATATGCTTGAGCTAGGTCAAGCTTTGCAAAAACACGCCCCCCCTTGAGAGAGGCCAGGATGTGACTGACCACAGGAACAGGATAGGCATGTTGCTGCAATGCCTTATTGAGTGTGCATTTGTAATCAGCACAAATGCGAATGTCCCCATTTGCCTTTAGAGGCGTGACAATGGGGGTCTCCCACGGGCTGGAATCAACAGGTTCTAGGATTCCCTGTTGGATTAGTTTGTCTAACTCAGTGTCAATCTTACTTTTTAAAGCAAAAGGGACCCTTCTTGCTTTAATCCTAATGGGAGTGACAGTGGGGTCTAGCTTTAAGGACACAGGTGGTCCTTTGAATGTGCCCAGCTGGGGGCTGAAAACATCTGCAAATTCTTTGCAGACTTCCTGTAGGTCGAGTGTTTGTAAGCTGTTGAGTCCTGTGACGTGTATCCCCAGGGCCTCAAACCAATCGAGTCCTATGAGACTCGTTCGTTCACCCCCTACTACTAATAAGTCTAGTGGACCTTCAAAACTCTTGTATTGCACGTTAAGGGTGGCCTCCCCCTTAACACACACTCTTGAGTTCTGAAAATCTGTTAATACAATATCAGAAGGCCTTAACTTGGCCTTAGTCCCACTACTGGAACAAATCTTCCTAAATGTATGCAATGAAATAATGGAAAGGGCAGACCCTGTGTCTAGTTCCATAGATAATGGAACCCCTTGTAGCTTCACGTTGAGTGACAGCTTTTTCTTCATGGGCTTGTGTGTGCCTGTTCTACAGATGCTTCTTCGCGAAGCGCAAAAACCTACCCTATTCTGGCTGGGGAATCTGGTACCCTTCAGGCGTTCTTCTTGGGGTTGTGCCTTTCGTCGGCCCAGACACACAGCTGCAATGTGCCCTTGTTTGCCGCATGCCCGGCAGGTAGCGGAGCGGAACTTGCAGTCGGTTCTCCTGTGGCGACCTCCACAGCCGATGCACTTGAGCGGAGCCGAAGAGCTTCCCTTCTGGTTCTCTTCCTTCGCGGGGTGTAGACGGTCGACTTCCTCGTCCGGATCCTCCTCGGAGTTTTGTCGGACGTCTTCCTGGTGCACGGACGCACCCTCTGCACTGCTTCTGATCGGCCGCATGTTCTTGACGGCGCCGCCTGCTGCTTCTTCTGCGGTGACTTCCCTTAAGGCGTCTTGGAAGGATAATTCTTCCTTAGCGAAAAGTCTCTTTGTAGCTCTCGATGCCTTAACCCGCACACGAATCGGTCCCTCAGTCGTTCCTCGAGGTCCTTGAATTCGCAGGGCTTGGCGGCCTTCCGTAACGCGGCGATGTATTCCTTGGCTGACTCACCGGACCGTTGATCCCTCTGTTCGAAGGTGTGGCGCCATGAGATAACGGACACCTTGGGGTGGAAGTGCTCCTTCAGCAGCTTCTTCAGGTCTGCGTAGCTTACAGACTCTACTGGGACAGGTGCTGCAAGGTTTTCTGCGATTTCGAAGGCGTCTTGCCGCAAACGCAAAGCAGGGTGGCCGCCTTCAAGCTATCTTCCCTCACTTGGTTTGCCTTGAAGTAGTTCTCCATTCTGGATACGTAGGACTCCCACCGCTCTGGATGTGAGACGTCGAATTCCGAAAGCCTTCCGATTTTCGCCATCTTCGGATCTTCAGGAGACGGGTCTATCAGCCAGCCTACCCCCGAATGCGCACCGGAATGGCGGGCAGCTGCCGAGTCGACGCCGTTCCTCTTCCGCCGCTCAGGACTCCTTGGGTAAGCTTACACTTCTTCCTTTCCAGGTAGTGCAAGGCATCCCACCTTCGTCGCCAGTGTTGAGTCCGTGGCGGGAAAACAGACATGAGAAGCAGCTGGAGTTCTCAGTTTCTTTTATTCAGCGTTCAGCTTACAGGAAGATGGCTTCAGCCTCGCCCAAACGCCTCGCAGCCTCTTATATAGGCAACTCCCGGGTAAATGGGTTACTTTTCCCGCGCCAGCACCCGCGCATGCGCACGGCGCTGGCGACAGCCTGTCTGGTCCCGGGCAGCTTTGCACCTGCCCGGGACTGCCTGCAAACGCCCGAGCCGTTTGCAAAGGCTCGGGACATAACAGAAGTAAAGTACAGAATTTCTTTCATCGGAACTCTTTTCCCTGTTAATTTTGATTGTTTCACTTTGTGCTTTGTAAAAAAAAAGGTTTTGAATTTAACATATCTATAACCACAAGAGAGAGTTCTTGTACAAGGAATCATTACTTAAGACATCTGTATTCTTTCTGGACTAGCTTATTTATTCTTAAACTATATCTGGGAAAGAGATCCAAGGACATTTAGACTAGTAAAAGTACATTTAAATTCTGTTACATTTTGTATTTATTTAATGATATGCTATTTTATATTTTATTGTGTATCATTGCTTCAGGGATAACAGAAGGAGCTCCTGTAAACACACCCACACACACACAATTATTTGAGATTGTCATTTCAGCAACAATTGTTATAAGAGTTTTCTTCCTTCCTACTTTTTATACCACATCATATAAATATTTACATAATGTTGAAGAAATTTATAAATGATTGTTATTTTATATTTACCTTTAACAGTTTAATATTCATTTTTAAATCTGTTTAATGAAAACACATGTTAAGGTCAAATCTGCCATTTACTTGCTAGAAATGAGTAAAACAAAGCAATATAAGGATCAAATTTATCAAGAATGGGAGAAATCCAACCGTAAATTGGTTCATCTGTGTGTGTGTGTGTGTGTGTGTGTGTGTGTGTGTTTGTTTGTGTGTGTGTGTGTGTGTGTGGAAGCTAGTTCTTTATATTTTTAATTTCTTTTTTTCTGTGTACTCTTTATTCTTTTTTTTAGTTTTCCTTTGTTTTTCAGTTTAGTTTGTATTTTATTTTCCCTCTGTTATTAAAACTTTCAATAAAATATTTCTTTTAAATGATCATATTTGCAAAGAGGAGATTTGCAACTCATTTTCATTTCTGGCTTCAGTGGTTTCAGAAACCAGAGTACCATTTCTTTGAAATCTACAAGCATTATAGGAAGAGACATCCCAAGCAGCCTTTTTATATCCTGAACCCCTACATGCAATGGCAACTTTGGGATATCCTCCAGGAGAATTCACCAGAGGATATTCAGCCAAATCCACCCTCTACTGGCATGCTTTGTAAGTCTTTGGTTTCTCCTTTTGATTTGTATCCCTATTTTAGAGAAATAAAATTCAAAGATGATCATGAGTAACTACTATTATGTTCAGGTAGTCCTCGACTTATGACCACAATTGGGCCCAAAATTTCTGTTGCTAAGTGAGATATTTGTTAAGTGAGTTTTGCCCTAAATTATGATCTTTCTTACCACAGCTGTTAAGTAAATCACTGCAATTGTTAAGTTACTAACACGTTTGTTAAGTGAATCTGGCTTCCCATTGACCTTACTTCTCAGAAGGTCACAAAAGGGGATAACGTGACCCTGGGACACTGCAACCATCATAAATATGAGCCAGTTGCCAAGCGTCTGAATTTTGATCATGAGACCATGGGGATGCTGCAATAATCATTAGTGTGAAAAACAGCCATAAGTCACTTTTTTCAGTACTGTTGTAATTTCGAATGGTCACTAAATGAACTGTTGTAAGTCGAGGACTACCCATATAAAACATGGGAGCAGACTCTTGGGCCTGTGAAGCTGGAAATTAAAAACAAGGGCAAAATTATGATTATATACCATCAAGTCATTTTTTGACTCTTTGTTCTTAGTAGCGAAGTCGTGTCCGACCCTGTTATGATTCCATGCCAGCCTGTGATCCTGGCAGCTGAGTCCGGGGAATCAGAGGAGGAGGAGGAGGGGCCTGGGGAGCCATCAGAGTCAGAGGAAGGCTCTGATGAGTTACAAGACTTACAAAGTGAGGAAGAATCTGGCCCCTCCACTCGTGATCAAGCTGAAAGCCAGCTGTGCTGGGAGGATGAGTCAGACTCGGAGGAAGCACATCTGGAAGACCTCAGAGATGCTTATAAACGTAGGCAGGTCACATGGGTAAATCAGAGAGAGGCAATGGGTCAACTCCAGGGGAGAAGGAGGAAGCAGTGAGAAGCCACGCCTTGGGGGCTGCATAACAAAAAGGGAATGTGTGGGCAGGGCTGGTTACTGGAGGCAATCGTTTGCAAAGAATTTCAGTGTCAAGGGATCATGGTCTGTTTGTTTTGCCTGTGAATTATTTCTTTTTTGATTCGTGCTCTGTTTTGCTTTTGAACAAACTATCCATTGGAAAAGTGTTCTGTTGCTTTTGTTTTGCGAGAAAATTATCAGAACTGTATATCAAATAAAAAGGGTTGGTTTTTCCAGCCTCCTGTTAAAGAGGGGTTGCCTTGTGAAGTAACAAGGACGTAGGCTGGGACAGAACAGTCCCATCACGACCCCATGGACAACGTTCCTCCAGGCCTTCCTGTCCTCTACCAACTTCTGGAGTCCATTTAAGCTCATGCCTACTGCTTCAGTGACTCCATCCAGCCACCTCATTCTCTGTCGTCCCCTTCTTCTATTGCCCTCAATCTTTCCCAGCATTAGGCTCTTCACCAGTGAGTCCTTCCTTCTCATCAGGTGGCCAAAGTACTTGAGTTTCAACTTCAGGATCCGGCCTTCTAAAGAGCAGTCAGGGTTGATCTCCTCTAGGACTGACCGGTTTGATTGCCTTGCTGTCCAGGGGACTCACAGGAATCTTCTCCAGCACCATAGTTCAAAGGCCTCAATTCTTTTGGTTCCATGTCCAGTTCTCACTGTTGCTTCTTGACCCGCATATAGGTTTCTCAAGAGACAAATAAGATGGTCTGGTACTCCCATCTCTTTAAGAACTTGCCACAATTTGTTGTGATCCACACAATCAAAGGCTTTAGCATAGTCAATGAACCAGAAGTAGATATTTTTCTGGAACTCCCTAGCTTTCTTCATGATCCAGCGTATGTTGGCAATTTGATCTCTAGTTCCTCTGCCTCTTCGAAATCCTGCCTGTACTTCTGGAAGTTCTCAATCCACATACTGCTAGAGTCTAGCTTGTAGGATTTTAAGCATAACTTTACTTGCATGTGAAATGAGTGCAATGGTGCGATAGTTTGAACATTCTTTGGCATTGCCTTTCTTTGGAATTTCTTTGATCTTCTGTCATAACATTTGGTTGTTTCACTTTCTCTATAGAATTCTGTATAAATAATTCTTTGATTGAAGTCATAGTTTGAGTTTGTATATCCAGAGCTTGCATACATAGAGTTTGGATCATCGCTTTTAACATTCAAAGAATTTGTTCCTGTACTTCCTCTATAAAAGAAATCCTTTCCTGTTCTCCTTCCATTGTAATATATTAAACTCAAGAGAAAGAAACTGACAGTCAGGAAGTCCACCAAATGGGGAGCTGAGCTGAATTTTGCAGATGGTGTTTCAAGGTTATTTTTTATCTTGTCTATTTTCAAAGCTGTCAACAAGTCTCTTAGAGAATAGCAGGTTATGTCTTAGAGTTAGTTGGATCTTTTTAGGGTTTTTTTCTGCTCTATTTTAAGGAGGAAAAAACCCCAAATCTTCAATAGTAATTAGAATAAAAATCAAGGAAGAAATATATATATAGAGAGCAGAAAGTTGCAAATTTTATAATCCACCAATTTTAGGAAATAGGATTCCAATTGAGATCTCAGTATTTTTCCAATGTTTTAAACTCTCAAGTGGTTGATAGCTGCTGTTTCTGGAGGGAGGGCTAGAATCCCCCTTCCCTCACCACAGGGGGGAAAGTACTTTAGCAGCTTATGCTGGTAATTAAGTAGTTAGGATGTAAGAGAGGCAAACCTCACCAGTCCTGTCCATGCTGCTTTGAAGTTGCCAGTTGGTAGTGTGACTTTGGCTGTCTGCAGTCTAGGGATGAGCTATATTTCTATGGCCGGTCCTTTCGTTCGCCGGTTTGGAGGAATTGCCTGGTCTGACGGAAGAGTTGCTGTTCTCCTGGGATCCAGCGAAAGCCCCTCTTCTGAGGGATTCTTGTCTGCAGTAGTATACCTGATGGTCCTCTGAATTAAATTCACCCATTCCTGTCCATTTTAGTTCACTGATTCCTAAGATGTCGATGTTCAGTCTTGTCATCTCTTGTTTGACCATGTCCAGCTTGCCTTGATTCATGGATCTTACATTCCAGGTTCCTATGGAGAAAAGATCTTTACAGCATCAGACTTTCTTTTCACCATCAGATGCATCCACAGCTGAGTGTCCTTTTGGCTTTGGCCCAGTCGCTTCACTCTTTCATGCACTGCTAGTTCTAGCCCTCTGCTCTTCCCCAGTAGCATATTGGACACCTTTCGACCTGAGGGGCTCATCTTCCAGCGTCGTATCTTTTTGCTTTTTGGTACTGTCCATGGGGTTTTCATGGCAAAGATACTGAAAAGGGTTGCCATTTCCTTCTGCAGTGGATCACATTTTATCAGAACTCTCTGCTATGACCTGTCCGTCTTAGGTGGCTCTGCACGGCATAGCTCATAGCTTCATTGAGTTACGGAAGTCTCTTCGCCACAATGAGGCAGTAATCCATGAAGGAGTTTTGACTGTTAGCAACCCCATAGATAGTTTTTCTTCATGACAATCTCACCCTAACATAGTCTTTCAAGTCTTCCAATAATGCATTCATCACCAATGTAACCATTCACCTTGCTGCTGCTCATCCTTTATCTTTCTCCTTACACTTTTCTCAGCATGAGAGCTTTCTCTGGAGCACTAAGTCTTCACATAATGTGTCTGATGTACATAAGTGCTCAAGTGAGAACACTGGGTTGCTTTGTTCAATGTTGCATTGTTTTGTTTTTGTTCTCTACAGAATCTTCTCCAACATTAAAATTCAAAAGTGTCAATACTTTTCCTATCTTATCCTATTTTTTCAAGATCCAACTTTTGCTTTCGTAGAATGTCACATGGAATACCATCGGCTGCATGATGGCAACCTTTATCAAAAATTAAGGAACTCAGTTTTGCAAACCTCTACCTTCCCAACCATCTCAATCTTAAGACATTGGACTTCAACTCCCAGAATTCCCTAGCCTATATATATATATATATATATATATACATATACATACACACACACACATACATACTGTTCAAAAAAATAAAGGAAACACATCCTATAAGAAATCCTATAGGATGTGTTCCCTTTATTTTTTTTAGCAGTATATATATATATATATATATATATATATATATATATATATATATATATATATACATACACACACATACACACCAAACACATATAGAAAATAATAGTGTTCTGTCCTAAACTATGTAGCAAATGCTGTTTAATCTTTGTGCACATACTGTATTTAGTAAAATAAAATAGAACCAACTTTAAACATCATACCAGTTGGACTGCTGCTGCAAAGCACAGGGGTGTGCTATCTTACAAATTAGTTTATGTCCCAGCCTACTTAATTTCCAAACCCAACAGGAGAGTACAATTTAAGTACTTTACTTTTTTGATGTTACAGCCTACTGTTAAGTGCATTCTGGGGGGGAAAAAACCTCACGTAAAGATCAAGAGAGAATAATTTCAGCACTTAGCGTTTCTGAAATTGTCCCTGTGATTATTCACTCTCTGATAGATTAAATTGGATATTAGACTAGATTAATACTTTTAAATGATTTATCAGTACTTACAGTTTTACACATCTAGTGGACACCAAGTTAAGAAAAGATTGGTATGGAGTCCTTCAAGTTTTCTATTGTTGGGGCTTTCTGGGCAAAAGAAGAGGTTTTTTTCTTTGTTTTGTTTTGTGTCACTATTAATATCTTTACTGTTAAATTGTTTCTTTAACATGCCTAAAATTATCTCTCTTTTTCTTTTCTCTAGGCATTGTTCTTATGATGCACTTCTGTGATGAAGTTGCTGTTTATGAGTTTCTTCCCTCTAAGAGACAAACAGATATTTGCCATTATTATCAGGATACCCTTGATAAAGCATGCACATGGGGTACCTACCACCCACAGCTCTATGAAAAAAATATGGTGAAGCACCTTAATCAAGGTACAGATGAAGATATTTACAATTATGGAAAAGTGACTTTACCAGGCTTAAGGAAAGCACAATGTTAGGAGTGCAAAGCCCATATTCTGGGCTTGGAAGCCTGTCTTGAATCACAGACATATACTTAGCATTCTGCAGAATGCATTTCTTTTTTTAAAAAAAATATATTTTATTGATTTTTTTTCAACTCAATAATTGGTGAACTGTGTGTTGTCTGGGTTACATTTGTAAAAGAATCATTAATAATTAATTTTTATAATCCATATTCCACATATTAATTTTAGTTGATATCCCCTTTCCCCAAAATAACCTCTTTTGCAAGCATTGGGTTAATACAATTCTTATTATTTTGATAGATAACAATATATAATTTTTTCCAATATACCTAAAAATAATAATCGTATTAGTATAATATTTCTTTTCTATTCAATCATTCTGATTGCCTCATCATAAATCCTGTTACAATCCTTATTTTAGTTTATTTCTCCCATCAAATTCTAGATATTCTTGCTGGTGAAAATTTTCTCAAAGGTTAATTACATTTACATTTACAAATTTAACTCTATTTTTTCCATATAAGCCATTTCACACTTTTACATTTCTTAAGAAAGAGATAGAACAATGAAAAGAGAAAGAGAAAAAAAAAAGAGAAAGGAGAACAAGAGTAAAGACACATAAGAAATAACATACTATTTAAAATGTCTATCCCTCCTAGGCTAATATATATTTATTCCTTAATTTCTTATTCTTGTTAACCATAATTAAGAATATATTTAATCTTTGATCTTTAAACATTCCATTCAATACATCTAGTCCTCTAGTCCTTTACCTCTCACAACATTTTTTTTATTTTCTTAGATTCAGTCACATTTAAGTATCTAAAACATTTCCTTTATTTACTGTACTTTCCGGCGTATAAGACGACTTTCGCAAGTGTTAAAATTGGCGCAGAAGTCAGGGGTTGTCTTATACTCCGAGTCGTCTTATACGCCGGAAATAACAGTAGTTTCCAGTGTATAAGATGACTTTCTAGGCATGAGACTCGGCGCCGAAGTCGGGGGTCGTCTTATACGCTGGGTTGCCTTATATGCCGGAATATACAGTAAATTATTTCAACTTTTTTATGTTACTCATAGCAAGAAGAACACAAAAGGAAAAAAGCATACTATATTGTTTAGAGGATTTATCCCTCTTAAAATAATATATTCCAAAGTTTTTCTATTTCTTTAACCATATTCAAACAAATGTTCCTTTTTTAAGTATTCTCTTTGATAGGTCTCATCATCTATTTTCTTTTTCCCCTGGTTTTACCTTGACGGTCATAATCCTCATCCACCAGTAGGTGTCATGACTGGTTCATTTTTCAGATTTTATTCCTCGTGAAAGGTTAAAATTCCCAGCTTCTGATAGGAAAAGGATGAGGGCAACCCCTTCTTTCTTCACTTTCAGAGGATTTTTTTTTTATTTTTTATTTTTTGCTTCACAGGATTTTCTCCCCTTCAGGAAAGTATGTAGGATAGAGAAAATCAATGATTCTTACCCAGATTCAAGCCCACTATTTACGATCAGCTTAAATTAGTGCTTTTGACTTCCGTTGCTTGCAGCTAGGGCTGGACTCTGAAGTTAAGCCAGCCTTTCTCCTGTTGGTTTCTGGAAGGCTTCTCCTGGACCGCCATCTCTCCTAGGTCCCTGGGACTTCCTTCCTTCATTGCCACCTCTCCAGGGTGGCTCCTGGCCCATTTAGGGTCCCTTAATAGGAAGAAACTCAGCTGGAGAGCTCAGAGTCCTGAGTCTCTCAACTGGTTCACTGCATGCAGGAACCAGAAACCCCTGCAGAATGCATTTCTAATGAGTGCCAAGAATGAAATAATGCAGCAGTTATTACAGAAATACAATTAAAAATCTGATTCTCAAAAATTAAACATAATTGGTTTGTGTCTAATTTTTGTGACTGAATTTTTTTAAAAATATAACATTTTGGGCAGTTGCTGCTTCAGAACCAACACTGAAAGCTTCTAGATGAGGCTTCCATATTTTAGAAACAGCCAATGTTGGAGGGACCAGGATTTCTGTGCCTTATTTTCAGATGTGTCTGTTCTGGACTGTTCAGAAGCCAATAAGATCCAAGAGGGCAACATTGTGAGAAGAATATATGAATTTAGAGAGCCATTTGTAAGGTCAGGCATGCTGATAGACAAAACAAATAAAGACTGGAAATTCAGAAAGTAAGGAGTAAAAGGAGTAAAAGAGGACATCTATGTTAAAATTGAACAGCCTTCTCTCAATAGAGTGGGGAGGGACAGGACACCGTCTATCTCCTATTTACAACACAGCCCTTTCAACAGTTCCAAGAAGATTCCACACCCATTTGCAGGTGATTTTCAGGGAACAGACACCCCCAAGAGGCCTCAATGACTCTCAGAGGGCTAATGACCCACCTTCAAAGTGCTAACGACCAGATGACTGCAAATAATATAAATTCTTCCATTCTCCAGCATTCAGTCAGAAATGAGGATGCTTCTTGGATAAGAAGCAAAACATCTTCAAGAAAAAGGAAAGTCCAGTTGTCTGTTGAAAAAGCACCTTTGGGACAATCATGACCTGGATGACTGAGAATCTCCATAGACATTGGAAATGAAAAATATTATATCACTGTTACGGAATGAGCTCAAGCCTTTATCAAGACATTTTGCAATCTAAAGTGAAGGAGGAGATGATTTTTCTTTCTTACTTTATCCAAAAGTTAATTCTCCCGTGCTATTAAAGATAGCAGAGTAATGTAGCAGGCGTGGGATATGCTCCATCTTTAATGACATATAGGGAAATCTTTACAAACCTAATTGGATCCGTCTTCCCTATATGTCATTAAAAATGGAGCCATGAAAAATGTGCTAAAATAATTGTGTGGTTTTTTTTTTTTTTTTGTTTCCAGAGTATGTTTTACAAGGAAAAAACTTTTTCTGCAGATTCTACAATTTCTATATAGTCTGGATAATTTAAGAAAAATCATGTGTTTTTCATAGAACTATTGTTGAAAGAGACCAAAACTCAATTAATGCTATATAACCTTAGACAGGAATGTTGCTGTTTTTCACATATGCTTATTCATATACACACTCACTAGTTTATATCCAATATAGTTCCTCTGAGCTGTATGCCCCAAGCTGTTTAATTTTGACTGGTCATCAAAAGAACTAGACTGCTAAGATAATAATGTGTTGTGGCAGCTTGTTTAAGTCACTTTCCAAGCTGAAATGGTGGCAGGGGTGCTGTTTTTGTCATGCATGTTTCCCCAGTTCTGCACTCTCTTAGTTTCAGTGAAAAAAACACTGGCAGGGGAGACTATTCTGAGTCCTATTCTAATTTATTATTAGCTTTAAGTACAGTATGTAATTAGACATAACAAAATGTAAGGTTTTGAGGAATACAGATGCAATTTGTAGAAGGTAACATTGGTATTTCAACTTCTAATTTACTAGTGTATATAAAACCAATTTGATAAACACCAGCTGTTTTAGTCTTACAATTAATCTCTATATATTTATTTGAATCTCTTTAGTTAGATCACTGTCTTGTTTTTTCATGTATCTAAATAATATGAAGGGGAGATATAGAACTTCCCAAGGCACCGAAGGGATATTTGTTGAGGTTGGACAAAACAGCCATCCCCAACTAAAATTTGGATACTTAGAGCAAACGTTAATTATGCAGTCTTTCTACATGAAATGATGTCATATGAATTACTCCACCCAGCTACAGCATCTAAAACAACTATATAATAAGTCTTCTTTAACCAATTTTACAAACCTGAAAAATGTTATTTTCCAAAACCATACGAAGACAATGATGTCATTCAATAATGTTGTATTTTTAATAGACTTGGATCAAAAGAATTACTCTTAAGGTCCAAATCCCAGCCAATATTAAATACTTTTCATTTTTGCTCCAAAATGTACCTTATCTCAAGGTGTGTTTCTTTATTATTTTTATATGCCTGTAAAGAATTGTTTTCTTAAGAAGTGTTTGCATTTTTTTTAATTTAAATCTGTAAAACATCAATGTCTGATTTGTCAATATTCTTTAAAATAATTTGAAATAACTCTGAAGGACCCAAAGATGTAAAATTTGTAATAAATTTCTGTAAAGTCATGGTTTCTATTCCTATTTGCTTTGTGACATTTCATTAGTCGAAGCGAAATTAGAATTCGAAACTGTAAAGATACGATGTAATCCAATTGAAATTCAAGTGGAACTGAAATTCAAGTGGGTTTCCTGCTTGAGCAGGGGGTTGGACTAGATGACCTCCAAGATCCCTTCCAACTTTACTACTACTACTACTACTACTACTACTACTACTACTACTACTACTATTATTATTATTATTATTATTATTATTATTATTATTATTATTATTATTATTACTGGAGAAATTACATAGAGTCCTGATCTTTTCTGCTGGAAACAGCAAGCAAATGGTCCTCTGCTTCTCCAGCTAACTACTGCAGGGTTGTTGAATGCCCTACAATTAAATTTATTAGAAACAGAAGAATTACAGAATGAAATAAAATAAAATTTTCCAAATAGAAAAATTTTGAACATGCAAATATACCAGGAAAACTATTAGACATAGTAAATACAAAAATATCATCATTAAAGATTCAAAATTGTTACATTGAGCATCAGAAATAATGACAGAATTGGCAGTTTTTAAAAAATAATTATATTCCAAGACTAATCTCGATGAAGCTGCTATGGATAAATATATTGAAAAGTCAGTTTTAAAAGTATGTAATGGTGAAGTACTCCTATAATTGTTCAAGAAATGAAAAAAGTACCCAGCCAACTTTTTATATTGCAAAGATACCTTATCATTTCACAGGTCCTGACAAGGTAGCCTCTATCTCATTGTTAGCCTGCTGCCAGGACATTTTGTAATTTAGTCTGTCACTTCTGGCTATAAAAACTATAGATTTTACACCAACTCTGGCCAATATCTACTGTTCTTGCCTTTAACTGTTTACTAAACCCATTGCCCATTGGGTCATCTTTTCAGATATATTTCCTTACC